CAACCCAATCTATTCTATGATTCTATGAGATGGCAGATATTAAGCACAGATATTAAAATTAATTTGTGTGTTTATGATCCAAATATTTTCTTACCATATAGATTTTTGTTAGTGATCAGCTGGTAATTCTTGGTTATATCTGCTAATGATAATTCTTGTAGTTCAGTTATGCTCTAATTATGTATAATCCCATAATGAGAACACTTGCACTTTTTCCTTATGAGGTACAAGTACTTTGAGATGACTGTCTAGCACAGGATGTTGTGGTGCATTTACATTGCACCTCACAGAATTCCCTTGAGATATTTGACATACTAACCGTTGCTTGTAATTCTGGTTTACAACTATTAATCTTACTCCCACTTAAACCCTGTGATGATTTCAATTTTCATAAGCAATCTGTGCATAATGCATTTTGCATTGATTATGCATTTAAAAATAAAGCAGTAAGATTGAACTCTGCTGCTAAGCACGTTGCATCTCCCTTTGAAAACAGCTTGAATGTGCATGAAATCAGAATTTGACTTTTTTTTTTAATATTTTGAAGAAACATATTCTTTCTTGTAAATTCCTGTTTATACTTTAAGGACTACTGCAGACAAGGCAAGTAAGCTGGAATCTACTGTTGAAGTGTATCGCAAAAAGCTACAGGATCTGAATGATTTCCGCAGACAAGTCAAATCTCTGCAAGAAACCAACATGATGTATATGCACAACACAGTCAGTCTGGAGGAGGAACTGAAGAAAGCCAATGCAGCACGTGCCCAGCTAGAAACCTACAAAAGGCAGGTAGGGCTGCATCTGTACTTAAGATGTTAGATAGCTAGATGTTGGGTCAGATAGTTGTCTGACCTAAATATAATTATTTTGATTGTGTTTCAATGAAAAAAAAAAAAAATGAAGAATTTAATTGAACAGCCTGGAGACTTAACTTGTATTGTCCCTTTAGAATTTCTTATTTATGAACTCCTTCATGCTCTGCCATTCACATTCTGTTTTTCCTTGTTTATTAAACTAGCAAGCTTAACTGTAGTTATTCTCTCAACTGATGGGCTGTCCATGATCTTCATGCTTTTCTTACTTACTTTAACTGAGGTATTTGTGTGCCAGAGAGAGGTTGTTCAGCTATTACCAAGATCACTTGTATCTAATAGTCTTAACTTTCTTCACAGAAGTTTCCTTTAAACTGTAGAAGTTTTGGTTCAATTTCACTTATTTCAGTAGTAATTAAGAGATGCAGAAGCTAGATATTTGAAAAAAAAAACCCAAAAGACAAAACAAAACAACAAAAAATACCCCCCAAAAACACACACTCCTGTACCATCTCCGCTTCCCCAAGCTCGGAGGACCGGGTGTTTATTTTGATTGTACTGGGCACGAGTGAAAGTTTTAACATAGTTTTTCAAGGTAATATCTTGCAGCATGCATGTGCTGAATATAGTGTTTTTATAAAAAGGTCCATGAACTTCATAACAAACTGTCTGAAGAATCAAAAAGAGCTGATAAGCTAGCATTTGAAATGAAAAGGCTTGAAGAAAAACATGAAGCTTTAGTCAAAGAAAAAGAGGTAAGTCTCTCAAACGAGAGTTTATTTGAACACCTAATAAATCTCTCCCAAATGCTGTGCTCGAGAAGAACCTTCCCAGAAGTAGTGCTGTCATAAAAATTATATTTAGTGCCGTGTGTGTGTGTATGTAAAATATATCTTAAAATGTATATGTGTCAATACTATTTCTGATTAATGTTATCTGGTCTTAAAGTGGTGCAGTATGACTTAATTCCACCTCAAATATATCTTCTTAGAGACTGATAGTACAGTGTGATGCATTAAAAGAGACAAATGAAGAGCTCCGGTATTCCCAGATGCAGCAGGATCACCTGAGTCAAACAGGTATTGATTTATCTTCAGAGGCTCTCGTGTGTAGAGGAAAGATTTCTTTACGTTTGTTAAATTAAACTTCCCATGCAATTTCAGGTGCATCTCGTTCTAAAAGCCATGAGAATCTTGCTGCTGAAATTCTGCCAGTGGAATACAGGTAAGAAAACAAGGTTGAGATCATTTTGGGATTTTTGTGGCTGGGGCATAATATTGTCTCTGGGAAAGTTCAGTATTTTTGGCACCATGACTCTGTATTCCACATCTTGCTTTCCCTTCCTGATGCTTGTCTGGACCCCCATTATCTATTAATTGTTCCCCCATGCTATAATTACTTTGCATTCTTTCTTGAAAGCATATCAGATTGCTGTATATAAAGTTTGGCTTGAAAACATCATCTTTAAGGAGCAAAACAATTCTTACCTTGCCACTGTCAGACAGAATAAATAAATAGTGCAAAAAACTATAACAGAACAGCCTAAGGCCAGCTAATACTACTTTTAAAGTTTGGCAGAGTGATACATAAAATCTGGGGGTGGAGTGACTTAATTTAAAACTTTGTTCATATCTCTTAAAAAAACTGTTGTGGTGTTTGAAAACTGTAGGTTACCTTTTAATAAAAAATGGCATTGTTACCCCAACTATATTCTTAAGCAGAACTTTTGTTCACTTTAACGTTGGGGGAGCGAACAGGAATATTACTTCCTGCTCTTGGTCACCTTTTTCTTAATTAACAGTGACTTTTTTATTGTTTTTGATTCAGAGAAATGTTTATTCAGCTGCAGCATGAAAATAAGATGCTTCTATTACAACAGGAAGGATCAGAAAATGAACGTATTACAGAGCTCCAGGAACAGCTGGAGCAAAAACATCGGACAGTGAACGAACTAGAAACTGAGAAAAGGTGATGGGTGAAACAACACCTTAAAATGTAGCAAAAAGTGATTTCTCAGCCTTCAGAATATCCTTGTGTGTCTTGCTTACATGTGTGGCATAGCACTGTGCAGGAAGCCAGTTATCCTTTTTCTTTCACTGGTGTAATCATTAATGAAGGGTTGTGAAACAAGCAAGAAGGAAAGGAGCTTAAATGTGGTGTTGTAAAATGTGCAGGATCTGTGTGTAGCATACTCTGAAGAAAGAGTTGCTTATAGGATGCTTTTCTTAGTTCTGAATGTTTCTTGGTAGGCTAAGAATGGATGTAAATTCTATTTCTGGATCTTCAGACTAATCAGGTTGTAACCCTGGGATATGCTCTGAATTCTCTATCAGTTAATGAATGCTGAAAGCAGTTTACTAGGCTATGAGAATTTGGGGTAGTTAAGTTTTCATGCAACTTAAAATGATTCTAGGTCTTTCATCATAAAATGTTTAATAAAGCTGCCATGCGTTTGTTTCAGCAGAAGTTCAAGTCAAACTAAAAGAATTTGAAATAAATTTCTTTGTGGCTTAAGTCCTGCTGAGTAAACCCTCTGAAAAGTTATCATGCAGACATGAAACAGAAAAATCTGTGTCTGCTGTGATCTGTTTAGACAGGTAGTAACAGTCTTTTCTTCCTAAAAGGCTAAATGAAGAGCGTATTTGGGAGTTACAGCAGCAGATTGAAGATCTACAAAAGACTTTACAGGAGCAGGGATCCAAGACTGAAGGAGTAAGTGAAAGTTCAGGCATCCTCACCTTGAAGACATCTTGCCAGTTTTGTTTAAAGTCCTTCAGTGTAACATCAAGTCCTTTGTTTAGATGTACTTTTTTATTTTTTGCCCCCAGTAAGTCTAGTGCTGAAAACTACTAAGGTGACAGGATCCTGGTTTGGTGCTTTTTTAATTTGAAGTTACTTTGAAAAGCACTAGTTTATGCAGCACTAAAAGCAAGCAAGCTCTGAAGCCCATTTGGGTCACCCAGCCCCCCAACCTGAACAAACACACATCTTTCAAAAAGACCTTACAAGGAAAAATCGTAAACAATTGAGGCTGTTCATTGTACTCCAAAAAACTCTCTCCTGTCTGAAAACAACTCTGTCAGTTTAGGTAACGCTGACTTGGCTCCACTGCATTCAGAGCAGATTATTTTAGTCTCTGTAGTATGAGAATCTGTGATAACCCCACACCAACTGCATTTCAGTTGAAGAGCTCATGTTTTATGTGATTCCTTCTTCCCACCTTCTCTAAGAAACTGTAACTCTTCTAACTTCTACTTTACTTTTAAAAATCTCTAGTTTTATCATTAAATGTTGGTATAGTGAGAAGGATAGCTTTAAAGAAAAAAGGTGCTGGAATTAGTATCTCTGTGATGCAAAAAATATGAATGCAGTTACAGAAATGTATGAAAAAAATTCAATGTTCTTAGAATTTATTTGGTTTGACTTATTTAGCTATGCTAAGTGTTTTTGGCTGATTTGTAAGATCACTTTAACATTGCACGGTATGAAATACTGAAATATAACTGAATTTTAACTCTTTCCTTTCATAGTCTAGCAACCTGAAGCAGAAATTGGCAGCACATATGTAAGTAAGGCACATGCATCCACAGTAGCTTATTTATGCTAAATAATTTGACTACTGTAGCAGAGAAACTGCCTAATTCTTTGTAGGGATGTCTTGTTTTTCAAAGCCACTGATTTGAGAATCATGCCTGTAGTGAGTTAAGTATTAGTGTTCTAATTTTGTCTACTCTGATCATGATAATCCTGTAATACTAGTATCCACTTAACTGTCTCTTCATCACCAATAGCATTTTAACTGTTCTGATTTTACAACAGACTGCTAAAACCATCACTCTTACTGGACTCAAAACATATTTAATTCTTTTGAAATACTGACATCCTTTCAGCAGATGTAATTCCTAGTAAGGAAATGCTGGAGGCCTTTTTTGTTAATTTTCTTTTTTGTTTCTAGTTTTAGATAAATGAGACTCAGTTCAGCAGTCACAACTTTTATGTTTCTTCAAAAATACTGACTAATATTTCTATTTAAACTCAAAAAAATTGCCAAAGTTTAAAATAGTTTAAACACTTGCACCATCAAGTTTCAGCTTTCGGCTCTTAAAACTGTGCATGGAATTATTTGTGAGTTTAATCCTTACCCCAGCCTTTCATTTGTAGGGAAAAGTTGAATGAAGTTCATGATGAGTTACAGAAGAAAGAGGCTGACCTTGCAGAACTCCAGCCTGATGTTAGTCAGAACCGTAAGTGGTTTTGTGTGGGTTTTTTTGTGGTTTTGTTTGTTTTATGAGACTATGTTAAATTTCTTCTGAAACGATTCCCATAGCCACTGGGTTATGAGTTACTTGTCTAGGTAAGGCTTTCTTCAACAGCTTGGCTTTAGACCTGAAATGGGCTGCGGGGGGAGTGTTTTTGCACTCAGTGGTAGGCAGGGAGAGGTTCATGAGGGCTTAGTTCTGTTGAACAGTACTCTGCCAAATCGGAGTTCAGGGTCAGGTGGGACATTATGGTACAACTGAAACAAAAATAAGAACTTAAGAAATTGTGTAGTAGCTGGAAAGTTTATTTGAGGAGTGGTTAAATCAAGAGAACACAGAAGCCTTGAAAGTACTGTGTGTATTTTTATTTTGTATGTCTCTATTGATAATTTCTGTAAATAGCCCAGAAGATTGGAGAGCTGGAAGCAGCTTTGAGAAAAAAAGATGAGGATATGAAAGCAATGGAAGAAAGATATAAAATGTACCTTGAAAAAGCAAGAAATGTGAGTGGCATATTTCTGAACATACACATTACTCCTTCATGAATTGTTAAACAGATGAATTTGAGTCCCTGCTTCTCCTCCACCTCCCAATTAAAATTAGTAGATGCATATTGCATTTTTAGTCATATTGCTCAACTGCAGTTAAGTGACTGTGAGAATGGGGTTTAGGCTAAAGTGTGGGATGCATTTATGGTTCCTTTGTACACTCTGTTATCTCCTGTTGTACAGTGTAACAGCCTAGTTTTCATCATAATTGGCTGACTAGTACTCAGTCTGTTTTCATGTTTCTCCTGTGAGCAAATGAGGTGCAAAGCTGTTGAGATTCAAACCTGACTTGTAATGCTTTTGTTTTGCCTTATGCAGGTGATAAAAACCTTAGACCCCAAGCTAAATCCAGCATCAGCAGAAATTATGTTGCTCAGAAAACAGATAACAGAGAAAGACAAAAAAATTGAAGCACTAGAGGTAAAAATTTACATATATTTAATAATTATTTCTAGTATGTTCTAGAAACATAGAACATGTTTCTGCTGTCTCTGATATTAGACACTCAAGTTACTGTTTTCTAATGATCCCGTACCTGAGTTTCGGTTAGAAAATGGACAGACCATCAAACCTAGAAATTTTGTTTGGCTTAATGAACCTCGTATCCTAGTATGAGTCCGTTTGGAGCAGTTTACTTTTCAACAGTGTTTTTCAGTGTACAACTCGAACACTAATTTGGATTCTTTCTAAACACTCTGAAAAGCTCTAAGTGAAATACTTCATAAGACTAATAGTTTTGCTGTGTTACGATAACTTGTACAGAGCTGCAGAGTCTGACCTTTTTCAGTAGTAATGTAACTTAGTTTTTATGAGAGACTATGTATTTGTGCAATCATAGAACCATAGAATGGTTTGGGTTGGAAGGGACTTTAAAGATCATCTGACTTGTTTAATTTAGTAGACCTCTGATATCAGCAGTTTCATGTACTGGAGTAAAAACTGTTAATTCAGTAAAATCTGCTTGGCTGATAGTCCTGAAAGGATTGTTGACAGTAGTCCAAGGACCAAAAAAAAAAAAAGTGGGAAATGCTACATTCAGATTTATAGCAATATTGATGGGACTGGTTAGAATAGTTACCTCAGCAAATACAAAATTTTTCAGCACAAGCTAGTAGGTTTGAGAGATCTGACTATAAATGCTATGGCCTCAAATTTCTGTCTGTGTGTACTAGACAAGTATAATAGCAATTCAGTAACATGATAAGGATATTCAACCACTAGAGGTACATTCTTGTATTTTATGTTCAGGTAAAGGAAACTACTGAATTATTTATAGACTTTCTGATACACCCTAGACTTTCCTGTGTTTCTCCCCCTACGCATCCTCAAAGTATGTTTCTAACTTGAACTGCAACTTGCATAAAGTTTAGCCTCTTCTTGAAGTAGTTCTCTCATAGTCATTTATGGAAGTATCTTTATTTACACTTCTAAGCTTTCTAGGTTTTTGCATATTTAAGTGTTTCTGCTGCATGTGTTTATTTCACTCAATAGACTGCAGTAAGTTTCTGCAGATTATTTCTGTGTTTTAATTGAGATTGTCTTCTCTATTGCCTCCTTGCAGGCTGAATACAAACTTGCTAAGTTACGTGATTATGAGGAAAAGCTAATTGTAACTGCATGGTATAACAAGGTGGGTTGAAAGTTCATTTGTTGGTGTCTCAGAAATCAGAAAAACACATCTTGCTGAACATGATGGTCAGATCTTACATTGCACTTTTTTTTTCCCCCCCTTTTTAGAATCACTATAAACTGGTGCTTGGGAGAGAAAGCTGGTAGTTTAGCTACTTGAGTCAGAAAAACTGAACTTGCAGGTTGGCATGGCCTCATGTCTAAAACAAAGGAACTAAGGACAGGAGCAAACCGTGAGAGTTCTAGTTTAAAATGAGATCACTCTTCCACTTGTTAATTCTGACTTCAAGCCAGAATGCAAACTTGAGTGAGTTCTAGCTGGAATTTTCAATCCGATTGAGATAACTGGGAAATACCAGCATCAACATTTTTGATAGCAACATATAGGGAAAATATTTTAACCATCAACTGTTTTGTAAAATTATTTTGTTATATTTTCTGCTTTTGTTCTGTGCTTTGGAGCAGAAGACTTAAAATTTGACATAGGCCATGAATTCCACATTAGTAATGTACTATTTGCTGCCACAAGCTTCCACCTGGATTTAGCAGGTAGAATGTCTAGTAGGCACTTATTGAAGTTTTTGGGCTTGAGACAAAGGGAGGCCATGATTCAAAAAGTTTCCAGACTCCTGCTTTAGATGTTCAGTGTATTTAACACAGTATTTCTGAAATAAAGCTAGAGCCATCTTCTCATCCTGCAGCAACGTTGCAAAGGTTGTTTGAATGCTTGACATTAGATTGCTCTGAAAAGAACCGGATAAAATTGTTCATAAGAAGCAGTGTTTATTAAATAGAGGTTCACAAAGACTGGTATGGGATATATTAAAAAAAAAAAAAAAAAAAAGAAGGAAAGTAAAATTAAATGGCTTAATAAAGGAACAACTTTACAATAAGTTAAAATGAACACATTCTATATGAATGTGCATTAATCTTATTTTCTTCAGCCTTGGGTCATACCTTTTATAGCAGCAAGAGGGTATATAAGAAATACAGTGAAAGAAGTTCTGTGTGCATACTAAGTAAGCATGAGCTTTGTGTATGAAAAATGGACAATGTTTTTCTTCTGTTTTTGCTCTAGTTTAAATGTTGTTTAACTTCTTTGCAGAGCCTAACCCTTCAGAAGCTAGGGATGGAAACAAGACTGGTTGGCAGTAGTGGTGGCTGCAGAGACGGTCCTGGACGCTCGTTCCTAGCTCAGCAGCGTCATGTCACCAATACCAGAAGGAATCTCACTGTTAAAGTACCAGGTGCAACATCTGAATAAACCACAAGGACCATGAGGAAAAATTACACGCTGAAGTGTCCTTAAATGTTTTGTAGCTTCCACTTTAACTGCTTGATGAAAGAGGAGGTTAGAGTGGTGGGCACCTACAAATGCAACATCAGAACCTATCAAGAAGTGATTAAGTTGATCAGTGGTGTGTCTAGAAGGTAGCACATAGTTTTCCAAGTAGAAGTAGATTTAATAACTGCAGTATGTAATTACAAGCACAATTTAAAAGATTTATATTTGCCTTCAGAATATATTGTAAATATAAAAATTGGCACTATATATTTAAAACTTTATTTAATGGGTTTGAGCTAGAAAGTTGACTCTTTTAATGGGAAGATGTTATGCAAAACATCTTTATATAGTTTAGGGAACTGGCAATATTGGACATTTTTGCTGGGCTCTTCTAAAAATAAATTTAAAACATTGGTACCATGTTTTAAAAAATACTTTTTTAGAATACAAAGTACAATTTTAAAAGCAAGAAAGTAGTTGCATTTATAGAAAAATAAAAAAAGGTGTAGTTCCAGTTGGCTTGTTATATAACGGAAGACGGGATTTGTTTTGTCATCTCAGTTGACAAACAGAATTATTCAGTTTATTTAAAAAAGATGAAGTTTATGAGTATATACATCAAGGAGAACTTGTCTTTAAGATGTTGAATTCACTAAAGCCAAATAAGCTCTCTTTTCCTGTGTAAGAAAAAAACTATTATAATAGTTTAAAAGTCTGGACTATGCTTTAGAAGTCTGGCATTTTGGTACGCTGCATTTATTTGCAGAAAGTGGGGTAGGTGGGAAGGAACCCCATCTATTTCCGGCTATTTATACAACCCTGTGCATAGAAATAAATTATCCTCTTTTTTAAAATGTAGTTTCACTTCATTTTTTTCTGAGCTAACTGTGCTAGGCAGATGAATAAAAGATGGCTTTGCTAGTTGTTGGCAGCAAATATTTTTGGCAAGGAAAGAAGTGCATAAACTATAATAGTGTCTAGATTGAAGAAGGTGAAATGGGGATTGGTATCTGAAATTTGTGTGCAAGAAATTGCTATCTTTCAGAAAAATGTGTCACTTTATTTACCAAATGTTTTATTTTTGTTGTGAACTGTATTTTTAGGAAGCTTGTTAATGTCAGTTCTTCTTTACAGACTGTCTTGAACAAATTATACCCATAGTTAAATAAAGCTAAATTACAGCAACCTTTAAAATAAAATGAATACACTTAAACTAAGTATTTGAGGGTGCTGCACCAGTACATGATCTAATCTAAAACTCAACAATATATGTGAATGAAAGCATCAGTCTTCACTGTTGTGTCCATCTTTGATTGGAGAGCAGGATTCAGATTTCCAGAATTTAAATTTTGAATTGTGAAATTTGAATAGTCTTCCATTTTGCATGTCCCTCAGTATGACTTGTTCTTTGATTTTTATTTTTTATTTTTTTTTCTCCCTTCCCCAGCATCTTAAATTCTTTATTGGGCATTGCATGCAGTGCTAGAGGAAAGGGAAATATTCATTTGTAATACTTAGTGTTGCTTCTTAGTTGTGGTGATCGTTTATACAGTGCTCTACATTTAGGTATTCAACAGAGATTTCCTCTTTCAAAACTTCTGTCAACACAAGGCGTTGTTTAAAAGCCAGTCTCATGCTGAATGTGGTGTGAGCAGAGAATATGCCAGACAAACTGCTGTTGGACAGTTTTGTCTGTCGGGTTGTGTTCTTCAGGAATCTGTGCGTCTTTGGACTACCTCTTGGGTTTTGAGGTCTTTTATTGCTGCAGTGATATTCTAGAGGTTTGTATTTCTAAGCTACAGTTGCTTGTTTAATCTGCTAGTGGTGTAGGAGATGATGGTGAGCAGTGGAACAGGAGACAAGTCTCAGCAAGATGCTTACATTTCTAAAGCCTGGTATTTCGGTGTGTCCTAGTGAAATGTGAAACTGTCACTGATGGTGTTGAATGGGTCTCTTAACCCTGGTTCTTTACAGCATGGAAGCTTTCATGGATGTCTTTCAAATACTCATCTAGTTAGTAGGCTTGATGCGTTTGTTGTTCTTCTCACAGTAGCAGAGCTGTATCAGTAATCATATCAGGTGCTGAATAGTGAAAAACTTGGAGCAAATGTCTTTGATGTACACACTTCTCAAAACTGCAGACCCTGGGACCAAAAATGACCAAGAACCTCTCTATCATTTAATTGTAAGTTTGTCTTCTGACAAGTGATGGAAGAATTTAAATACAGAACTACAGACAGGGATCAGCCTTTTTCACGGCCAGGTTGTCCCCGATAGTGTTTTTGGGGTTGCCAAAAACTAATGAAGTTTTCAGATATTGGATGTGATGTAATTTATTTGGGATTTTTCCAAACTGTTGAAAGTTAAGCCTGTGAATATAACTTAGGTGTTTCTTTGGCATTGAGAACCTGTTTAAGAGTGGCTGTTTTATAACTGGTTAAACTTGGGTTATGTCTGATCAATGAAGAACCGATCTGTAGAAATATTTGATTATAATGATATTTGATTATAGTAATATTTGATTATAAGCCATGGTGTTGTGTTCACTTCAGCTCACCTGGCTGTGCAGAAAGGATCACTAGAATAAATATCGCTTTAGTGTTAACATCATTCATGTCAAACAACCAAAAAAAGCCTATTAATAGCGTTGCTGTGTAACAACTGAGTTGTTTAAAACACATAGCAGCAGAACAATGTCAGTACAGTGTTCTTTGATGCAATGTGCACCACTGCTGAGGCAGGATGAAAAAAGAGGCTACTTGTCTCTGCTGCAAGATGAATTTGTATCGTGCCCAGACAGCACAGTTAGGAACAGATTCAAATTATGAGATTAAATCATTGAATATTGCTGAATTTAATCAGCATTGTTAGTAACTTTAGCCAGTCTCCATTAAAACGGGTAATATAAATCCAAAGAAACAAAAATATGTTCTGATTGATATATCATTTGTTAATATTTTTTTATATAACATTAAGAATAACCACTATGGAAGAGAAGTGTTTTGTAGCAATAATACAAATTTTGGACTAGTAGGTTCTTTTACTCAAGATGGATCAGGCAGCAGTTTTGAGAAGATTCTTTTGCAACAACTGTATTATAGTGGGTTAAGAAACATTCACTGAAAATAAATTTTCACCTAAATGATTTTTTTTGTTCATTAAAAGTATATATATGGCTATTCTATTTTCTACAATATACACTTACTTGGAAATAATACAAGCAATACTGATGTTTTATTTAGGTAGCCATAAATAGTTTAGGTATTAGAAAATAAAAACAATTGTTTAAGAGTTGGTAATGTCTAGTAAAGTAATTTTCTTAAATTTTTTGCTTCTTTCCTGCCACTAGTCAAGCTAGAGTTAAGATTTTCAATATATCAGTGTCTGCATCTTTTATTTAAAACAAATGTAAACACTGTATTGCATAGAACTTGAGAAATTGCACTAATTTTTAAACTTTTGGTTTTATTTTTCTTTGGAAAGAATTCTTTTATATTCACATAAAGATTTTTAAAATTAATTTTCTGGTGTCTTTATTCCCAGCAGTGTATTCAATGGTCCCTAGCTGATGTAAGCATCCATATTTCTGGGCAACATATGAACTGGGTCTGTATGTTGCTGGAATTATATATACCATCTAGAATGTCATGCTACAGGGTATGTAACATGTATGTACAATGAGTGTTTGTATGTTGTGCTGCAACAGCAACAAGTCAGAGTTGTGCTACCTTCTGCTCCTTTTTTCAGTTCATGCCTGCTTCCAGTTCTGCTCCCACCCAAAGCTGGTTGCCTCTACTCAGTCTGCCGACAGTCATCTGAGAGCTGGGCAAGTGACCTGGTGATGTGAAAAGACTAAAACCCTCTACAAATGTGCTGTTGAATGACTCCAGTAGTTGCTGATTGGCACTGAAATCAGTTAGGATCTCTGCCTACTCTCCTCAACCCCACCTGAGTAGACACAGAGGACAGGTACTCACCCCTAAATCACCAGACTTGTTATTTGGAGAAATGGCTGCTCTCTTCAGTCTGCTTTGCAGGTTATTCTTGTGCCCAGTTCTATCTTGTTCCCTGAGCACTAACTTCAACCCAGAAGTGAGAGTGGGAATGAGAGATGGCAGATGTTCAGCCCTCCCTTCAGCAGGCAAGAAGTTGTCACAAGTTTCCTTCAGGGACCTTTTTTCAGACTTGTTTTTACTGCAGCTTTTCCCTTTCTCTGAACCATAATCCTCAGCCTGACTTTCCTGACATGGGTCAGTAACAATTTTACTGCTTTCCAGGTGGAAGGGCCTTTGCCCTGGCAGAGGTGTCCAAGTGAGTGTGAAATGAATGGCCAGGCATGGAAGAGACATTTTTCCTTCTTTCTAAAGCTGGAGGTAAAAGCATTTTCAGACAGTAAAGAACAAAAACTGCAGGGGAGTGAGGGAGAAGGGAAGGGCAGAGGTTCTCAGCTGTGCAGGAAGCCTGAGCCAAGCTGCAGGATGTTTTCAGCCTGTGTGATCTGTCCCAGGACACACACCAGCAGCCACCGCTGCACTCCTGACTGGAGAAGGAGTGAATGAGGGGTGGTGTGGTGTGTGCAGAGGGGAGTTCTGCTTCCAAGTGCTTGGTCAGGAGAAGCTGAGGTGAAATGGAGGCTGGTGGGGTGGAGGCTGGGCCTGTGACCCTGTTTGCTTACGGCTTTTCTGATAGCTCCGTAAAAGCTAAGCACTGCAACAGAAGGTTTGTATATGAAGGCGAGGGGTATCCCTGGAAGAGAGGTGCAGGAGATGCTGGGCAGGTAAACAGGGAGGATTGAGCCTATTCTAAGAGACAGGACCCACAACCTCTATAGCTACAAGTGCAGGTGTGTCATGGAGAGATGTGTCAGAGTGGAGAGCACTCCCTGTGCCCCATGTGGGTGTTACACTCAGCATTGCTGTGGCACACCAGGACCTGGCCACACCCTTTGATGGCTTCTCTGCTCGATTGCTTGTAGTGTCAGGGTCATTGATTTTCATCAGTTGTGTGGGAATTGCCTTCACTGTTGCAGTGCCAACCTCTGTGTGAAGGGAGAGCAATGCCACAGTGACACGGGTCGGGCGCTGTGCGACTGCTCCTGCCCAGGTGTGCTCACAGCCCCAAAACACAGGGCAGAGCTGAAGGCTACGGCCAGTGCTGGAAATCACCTGTGTTGGTCTTCACTTTGCAGAAAGCTTCCTGACAAAACTGTTTTGTTAAGGATTTATTGATGCATGAGAAAGAGATGTTACAGAGTTACTTATTACAGATGTTACAGATTACATGTGAAGGATAAGAAAATTTGAAACAGTTGTCAATGAATATCTGTATTGATGTTATGACACAAGGGCTGGTACTGCTCTTCCATAGCACACAGCCTCAGCCTGAACACTGCAATCTCTGAAGTGTTGCTCATTCTCCTACCCCTGTGAAGCATGGCTCTCCATCATTCAGCTAGGAAAGCCCCAAGCCTCTCATTGATTGATGCAGCTGTATTGCAAACAAAAGAGTTCCCTTGCAAATCTCAGCCTGATCTCCTTTCCCATGTGATACAGAGTGCCAGGTCCACTTGTGCAAGAAATGATTTTGCAATTGGTTTAAAGGAAACAATCCAACCACCCAACCTCTCCCTGGATCCGGGTGGTCGTCACCACCGCCCAGGGGAACCGCTCGTTTTCATCATCCTTGCCAAAGGA